CAAACGACAGAGACCAACCAATATGGAATAACCAACCAAGTAGGAAAAGCAAAAGACAACACGACCTCTCTTAATTTGAGAATCCCCAAAGCTCTGAAACTTACCACATGCTTCCACAGTAATAAATTACTAAATTATAATAACAGTAATTACTTAATAAAATTCTAATTAACAAAATATAAAAAAAGTTTAATTTACAATTCAAATTATACTATACTACTCTCATTAATAAAAACCAATTCACAAAAAAAGTTTAATTCACAATAAAAAGTTTCATTATTATATCTCACAATCAATAAAGAGTTTAATTAAAATTCAAATTATACTAAAATTCAAAACATATAATAATTAAATTTTCTAATATAATATTTATTAATTGATATGTAAAATAAAATAAATTTTCTAAAACTTTACCACAAATTAGTTTTTATTACGAGTTTCTTAATAAAATTAAATCTAATTAAACAATGATATATTTAAAGAAAATAAAATAATTTTTATAAAACTCTATCACAAATTACCTATTTTATTTTCAATAAAACTCTATCATACTAGACAAAGATATATTTAAAAAATTTATATAAAACTCCAACACAAATTACCTATTTATCTATTTATTGTGAGTTTTTTAATAAAAGGAAATCTAATTAGACAAGTATTATTAATGTAAAAAATTATTTATTAATTGATATATAAAAAGAGGGTCAAAAGAGTTTCTATAAAACTCTAACACAAATTACCTATTTATCTATTTAATATGAGTTTTTTTAATAAAAGTAAATCTAATCAGAGAAGAATTATTAAAATGAAAAATATTTATTAATTGATATAATTTTTTTTTTAAAAGAGTTTATATTAAACTCTAACACAAATGACTTATTTATTTATTTATTATAAGTTATTTAATAAAATAAAATCTAATTAGACAATAATTATTAATATAAAAAATATTTTTTCATTGATATAAAAAATAAAATAATTTTCCTAAAACTCTATCACAAATTACCTTTTATTATTATTATTTTTAATAAAAACTAATCTAATTTGACAAAATTATTAAAATATAAAAATAATTATTAATTCATATAAAAAGAGTTTGAAAAATATTTTTTGTAAAACTCTAACACGTATTACCCATTTATCTATTTATTATGAGTTTTTTTTAATAAAAATATAATTAAACAGTAACATATTAAAAGGAAATAAAAATTTTTTTCTATAAAATCTATCACAAATTATCTAACTCTAAAATTTACCTAATAAAATTCAAATTAATCTATTTATTATTATGAATTTTTTAATAAAAGAAAATCTAATTAGACAATAATTATTTATATAAAAAAATATTTATTAATTGATATATAAAATAAATTAATTTTTCTAAAACTGTACCACAAATTAGCTTTTATTATGATTTTCTTAATAAAATTAAATTAAATTAGACACGGATATATTTAAAGAAAATAAAATAATTTCTATAAAACTCTATCACAAATTACCTATTTTTTAAAAAAACTCTACCACAAATTAACTTTTATTATGGGTTTTTTCATAAAATGAAATCTAATTAGACAAATATTATGAATATAGAAAATTATTTATTAATTAAAATAAAAAGAGGTTTTCAAAGAGTTTTTATAAAACTCTAACACAAATTACCTATTTACCTATTTATCATGGGTTTTTTAATAAAAAGAAATCTAATTAGACTAGAATTATTAAAATAAAAAATATTTATGAATTGATAAAAAATGAGTTTTTAAAAGAGTTTATATTAAACTCTAATGCAAATTACCTATTTATTTATTTATTATAAAATATTTATTAATTGATATAAAGAGAGAAATTCAGTGGGGCATAGACTCAGAATTACAGAAGCTTTGCCAAAGATTTTCAATATTTATTTATTTATATATAAAATACAGAATATAGAAGCTCTGTCAAATTGTTTCAATATTTATTTATTTTATAAAAAAATATTTATTAAATGATATGAAAAAAAATTTCATAAAAAAAAACTCTATCAAACTCTAAAATCTACATAATAAAATTCAAATTAACCTATTTATCTATTTATTATTATGAATTTTTTAATAAAAAAATCTAATTTTCAGAGTAAAATACAAAAACTATGCCAAAATGTTTATTATTAAAAAATTCATAATAATAAAAGAAAATCTAAAGTGTTTATCTACCAAATTAAAAAAATTCATAATAATAATAAGAAAAGAGTTTTTATATAAAAAAAAAAATCTACCAAACTCTAAAATCTATCTAATAAAATTTAAATTAAACTATTTATCTATTTATTATTATGAATTTTTTAATAATAGAAAATCTAATTAGACAATAATTATTAATATATAAAATATTTATTAATTGATATATAAAATAAAATAATTTTTCTAAAACTCCACCAGAAATTAACTGTTAATATGAGTTTCATAATAAAATTAAATCTAATTAGACAATGATATATTTAAAGAAAATAAAATAATTTCTATAAAACTCTGTCTCAAATTACATATTTTATTTTCAATCAAAGTCTATCACACTAGACAAAGATATAATATTTAAAGAGTTTTTATAAAATTTTAACACAAATTACCTATTTATATATTTATTAAGAGTTTTTAATAAAAGGAAATCTAATTAGACAAGTATTTATTTATTAATTGATCTAAAAAGATGTTTTTAAAAAGTTTCTATAAAACTCTAACACAAATTACCTATTTACTTATTTATTATGAGTTTCTTAATAAAAAAAAATCTAATTAAACAAGAATTATTAATATAAAAATATTATTAATTGGTATAAAAATAGTTATTAAATGAGTTTCTATTAAACTTTAACACAAATTACATATTTATTTATTATAAGTTTTTTAATAAAAGAAAATCTAATTAGACTAGAAAAATTGTATCACAAATTGCCTATTTGTCTCTTTATTTTGAGTTTTTTAATAAACGGAAATCTAATTATGCAACTATTGTTAATATAAAAAATTATTTATTAATTGATATAAAAAGAGGTTTTAAAAGAGTTTGTATAAAACTCTAACACAAATTACCTATTTATTTATTTATTGAAATCTAATTTGACAAAATTATTAATATAAAAAAAATATTTATTAATTGACATAAAAAGAGTTTTTAAAAGAGTTTTTATAAAATTCTAACATATATTACCTATTTATCTATTTATTATGAGTTTTTTTAATAAAAGAAAATATAATAAAAAAATAAAATAAATTATATAAAATATACCACAAATTGGCTGTTTTATTTTCTATAAATTTTTATCACATTATTTACAAAAATATTCAACACGTGCATCGCACGCGCCTTTTCCTAATATATATATATATATGACAAATTTATTTATATTTTAAAATATGAACAACCGCAATTTGTTATACCTATTTTATATAATTTGAGGTTTATTTTATCCTTCTGCCAAACAAACCCCATTTTATACAAATTTGGACAAAAGGGTTATTTTACATGGCATGTATTTGTAATTATTAATTTATTTAACTGAAGTGAAGGTATTATCGTCATTTTAACTGATATGCACTATACCGATAATAGAGGGGGAGTTTTTTGCACTTAACCCATTAATAATTTTCAAAGATGTAAATAGTTAAAAAGTGTGATTTTTTAATAAATTTAGTAATCTCGTACAACACAATAACAATTACACAGATCAATAATATTATTAACTAATATTAAAAATTTGCCACTAAGAGAAATGATGCCATTTGTTTTATTTTATTTATTTATTTTTTTGTAAAAAAATATGAAAACTAATAATTAAATAAAAAACTAATAATAGAAAAGTGATTTTTTGTACCTCTATGTTGGGTTCAACCAAATCCCTTTTTATGTCAGTTTCGACCTGCCCCACTAAGCATATTATTGGGTAATTTACACTCACCTCGTGAGATTTGTCTTATTGACAATCACATACGAGTTTGACTCGTTTTGAATAATGATACCATTCGTCCCTAAATAATTATTTAAAAAGTAAGAAAATACTATATTACTACTCTTCAATATTAAATTAATTTTAATTATAAAATATCATAACTTTGAAAAGACATTTTTGCCCTTTGAGTAGTAATTTATGCAAGATATAAAAGTTAAGGGTCCCACTTTCATTAAATAATTGCAATTTGTTGTTCTAAATAGCTTTAATTTTAAATAATTGTTAGGAAATTTTCTTAATTAGGGTGAATTAACCTTAATCTGTTGAAATTACTAATCTGGACACTAATTTGTTAATAAATAAGTGTTAATATTATGAATACTGATTTGTTAATTAAATGAGTGATTTATTTATAATTTGAACACTTATTTTTTTTTTTAATAAAATAGTGTTGAGAACAATAATTTTTTTAGTAACAACAAATTAGCGATTTATTAATAAACAGTGTTAATTTGTTAATTCATTTGTAAAACTTATTTGTTAAAAACACTAATTTTTTTTAGTGTCAACAAATCAATGGTTTATTAATAACAGTTAATTTGTTAACTAATTTTTAATACTTTTTTTTTTTTTGTTAATAACAGTGTTAATTAGACATTCTTCAACATTGTTAATTAATCTTAATTTGCTCAAATTAATATTTAATCTTTTCTAGTTTCTATATGTTGCATTAGAGTTCTTTTGAAGGCAATTGAGTCACTTAAAATTTAATACACAAGTCAAAGGATATTAATGTCAATTTACTTTCTTTTAAAGGATGGACGTGAGAGCAGGGGTATCATTATTAAGGGTGATATTATTAAAAAAAAAAAAAAAATGTTTATGGATATGCATGACAAACCTAAATCGTCTCAATCAAATTAAGATTTAATCTTTTATAGTTTCTATATGTTCCAGTAGAGTTCTTCTGAGGATAATTGAGTCACTTAAAATTCAATACACAAGTCAAAAGATATTAATATTATCAATTTACCTTACGCTAAAGGATTGACATGAGAGCAGGGGTGTCATTGTTAAGGGTGAGATATTATTAAAAAAAAATGTTTATGGATATGGATGACAAACCTAAAAGGTGTCAATCTAATTTACCCTATATTAGTTTTTGCATAGCATATGTACTCGAGAGAAGAGAAACGCTGAAAGGGCTCATTTTCTGACGAGGTTCGATTCTAGTGAGAGAAAGAGAGATGTCAAAGACGCTGGTGCAGCCGATAGGGCAAAAGAGACTGACGAACGTCGCTGTTGTTCGGCTGAAGAAGAAAGGGATTCGATTCGAGATTGCCTGCTACAAGAACAAGGTCCTCTCTTGGCGCTCTGGCATGTATGTTATCTTTTCTCTCTCTAGATCCACCATCATTTTTGTTCAGTTTGTTGAATTGATTGCTAGGGTTCGGAATGAGACGAGTCACCAGAGGAAAGAAGCGGTTGGTTTTACAAGTTATATATGGTCAATTATATATGTATAAAGGTACACCTAATATCTAGGGCTTCAGGTGTTCCCATGTATAAGGCCTGTGCGTGACATTCACAATAATTCTACTAAATTTTAAGCTTGTAGAGCCTTATCAACAACATTTGAATCCCTTAAAAAATTTGTGTAAAGTAATGTCTGATAATACTTTCTTGAATTTATTCATGGTTATTCCTTTTGTAATTCTTTGAGATATGAATGCTTATATGCTTGTCTTATGAAATTCTGAAACAGAGAGAAAGATTTGGACGAAGTGTTGCAATCGCATACTGTATATTCAAATGTTTCAAAAGGAGTTCTTGCCAAGTCCAAAGATTTAGCATCAGCTTTTGAGACCGATGACCATACAAAAATATGTTTGGAGGTCAGTCAAATGCATTTTCTTTATATTTGCTATATGTTATGGTGGGAAGTAACTCGTAGACTTAACTGTGTTAGTTATCCTGTGAATATCTTTTTCCTGAAATACATACTTAGTTATCCTGTTAAAATCTTTATCCTGAAATACATGCTTCGACTAATGCTTTTATGGTGGCAGATTTTGGAGAAAGGAGAGCTACAAGTTGCTGGGAAGGAGAGGGAATCACAGTTATCAAGTCAGTTTAGGGATATTGCAACTATAGTTATGCAGAAGACCATCAACCCAGAAACTCAACGCCCTTATACTATTAGCATGATTGAGCGTCTAATGCATGAAATTCACTTTGCAGTTGATCCACATAACAGCTCAAAGAAACAGGTCATTAATTTACTTTGCTATAGATTGATAAGAAATATTTCCTTTCTTTTAGTCTTGTTGATTTTCTTGGTCAGTGTTGACAAGTCTAATTATATACAATTTTTTATTTTTTTTATTTTTTAATTAAGTAGGTTGTTAATTCTGCTCTGTCATATTCATTTTGTACATTACCACATTTAAAATTAACTTTTTTGTACTCCTTGCATGTTCAAACTTATCTTTTCTGTGATTTCTGTCTTACTAGAAATTGCTTGCCCTCAATTCTGTCTTCATCCTTGATAGTAAGAACTAGAAATCCATTGTTTTACAGAAACTGATCAATTCTTATGTACTTCACCTAATCCTACATCTTTTACAGGCGCTAGAAGTCATTCGTGAACTTCAGAAGCACTTCCCGATAAAACGGTCTCCTATGAGACTGCGGCTGGATGTACCTGAACAGAATTGCCCTTCTCTCTTGGAGAAACTCAATACCTGGAATACTAGCATTGTTTCAAAAGATGAATCTGGAACTCAGCTGTCTGTTGTAAGTCTGAGATCTTGACCCCTGAATGCTGCAGTCTTTAATTTCAAGTTTTTGTGTACCCATAAAGACTTCAGTTATGGTTTGTCTATTCTTTTATCCTTGCTTCAAAATTTTGGCATTAGGTTAGTTCCAGTATGGTGCTTACACAAGTTCGAATTTACAGTTTGTTTGCTCAAGTTTCTGTATCACATCTCAGCATGGAATCTTAAATCGGGATGGATTAAGTTGGAAATGTAACTTCTAAAACATTCATATGCATACACGGACAAAGAACTTAAGACTTAAATCCTGAATGAAAAATACTGTTACTATTTCTATTTATTATTTGAGATATGTTTGTTTATTGCTAACCTTGATCAGGTAACTATAAATTTTAATATGCATAAACTCAATGTTCTCTATTTCCTGGGTAGCTTCTTTTTTATTAAATTATTTGTGTTGTTAACTTGTTACGATTGCTTTTGGTCATAGCTAAATTCAGTTGGGAGAAACCATAGAAACAAGAGTAGTGAACATTGAAGTCTCTAGGCAGGCATGCACGTGTAGACTTTGCTATATTTAAACACTTACCTTTTTACTTAATTACAAAGATACTTGAATTATAATACTCACTGTTGATGGATGGAAATGAGGATTCAGTGTACATGATGATTGAACTGTTCAAACTTGTCAATTAATTGATGATGAACTGACTTTGTCTAAGAATTGCGTCTTTTTAAGCAATATCAGTTTTAGGTTTTGGAACTAAACAATGGTTTATTATTCATTGAGGTTTAGTAATCCTATGGAGCATATCTTGGCTCCATCATTGAGCATCATCATAACATGAAGTGTCAAAATGTTCTAATAGTTTGTTTCACCATGATCTTTTAAACACATTGCTTTTGTGTTGACATGATGGGGTCGATATGGGAAAGTCCAAAAACTAAGTTTTTATTTCTATAGAACCGGCATGGCTTCAGTTATATTTTGTTATTAACCATTTATAGTTGCTTGTTCAAAAACTGATTTTATTTTTGAAACTCTTTACTGAAGCTACTCAAGCAAGATTTATGAAACTCACCAAAACATTAGAAATTTCTTGAAACTCTATCAAAGTTTACCACCCTGTATGGACACGAGGTAGCTTTATTCTCTAATGGAAAAGTTGGCTACATCTTGTTTCTCAAACTAAGCTAATACTCAAACAGTGGATGGTTATTGGTTTATTTTGTTATTTTTTTTGTTATATCAAATATCTCATGTAGTTTCCGAAATTCTAAAATATATTTTTAGGAAGTAATGTTGAAATAGAATGATTCCCTAATTTCTTGATATATTGTTGACAACAATTTTATTATATTTTTCATCTTTTGGGCCAACTACAATTTAATCCCAATTTCAGTCTGTGAACCATTAGAAAAAAAAAAAATCAGCTAAGGTTCATTTCTTATAAATTAGCATTTGCCATCTTTATTACCTTTTATTCTTTTATTTTTTTAAAATATGTTTCCTTCTTATGCATCTTCATGATTATTCATTATCTGCTGAGATAACCTTTTGTTAGGCTAGCTTGTTTTGTTGACTAGTAAGCAGTCCTCTCAGTTAATATCTAATAGTCTAACGAGCAGAAATGATCATGACCTACATTTTCCTTTCTCCTGAACTCAACTGTCTACTTGGTTTTCATGCAGATCTGCGAAATAGAGCCTGGCTATTTCCGGGACTGTGATGCCCTGGTGAGGAATCTGCAGGGTAGGCTGGAAATTCTTGCGGTATCTGTGCATGTGGAAGGTGATACTCAAGTGGATCAGTATGATGATCATGAGGACATGCCATCAAGCGGGCCTAAAGAAGCTACAGATTCTTTGCTCCAACTGAGCGAGAAAATGCAGAAGCAAAATATTTCTACAAAAGACGGGAGCAGCGAAGGAGAGGTAAAGCAAAACAAATGCAGCACATGTAATGCAGTTGTAGGGGATACCAAGCAGTACAGGGAGCACTTTAAGAGTGAATGGCACAAGCACAACCTAAAACGCAAGACTAGACAACTTCCTCCCCTGACTGCAGAAGAATGCATGGCTGACATGGAAATTGGTGATTCAAAAGCAGATTTGAAAGATTATTCATTTTGAGGTGGGCTAAGATTTTGTACTTGCAGTAGTTGGTAGACGTAAACATGCAGATTTATACAAGATCATCAACAATTTAATGTGTTACGGTGAAACTAGCTGGTAAAGTTTAGCATGAGTAAGGGATATATTAGAGGAATTGAAAAACTTTTTGGAGATTTGCCTGCTAGGAGGGTTTGTGTATTGGTAAAGTAAACGCAACGCGCAAGTACAGAATATACTGTTTTTGTGGTGTTGTGAGTGGCAAACTGAATGGAAGCAAGATTATGATTTGTATTTCTGTTATCATGTGTTCAGATTTGACAAACTAGGTTGGATAATACTAATTTTCAGGGTTCTTAAATGTCTTTTAAGTGCCGAACATTGAAATTATACATATTGAAGGGTACACTTTTATTTTTTTCTTTTTTTCTTTTTTTCCTTGGTAAGAAATATTCAAAGGTTCCCTATTCAAATCTCGCAAATCAATGATGTTTGTCAGGCGATTCAGGCCACTTTCAAACATCTTTATTAACAATACTACAAACCCAAGGTGCTTTCAGCCAGCCATAATCATGTAGTTCCATGCTTTCAACAATTAGGCCGGCCAATCACGAGTCAGTCGATGAACAAGTTCTTTTCAGTCGATGAACAAGTTCTCTTCCGAGTATCAGCCAAGTCAGTCAATGAACCAGTTCTCTTCCGAGTATCAGCAATTTTCTCCGCACCCATCCCAGACATTTAGAGTTACTAAAAAGCTTCTATATTTATGAACGTTTGATGGCTACCAATTCTATTTGAGTTCGTAAAAAGCTTCAATACTTTTTGCAATGTAAACCACCTTTCAATCTTTCTAGCTTCTGAAAACCAATTCAACCTTGTTTAAGAAAAGGTCACATTGGAAGCTTGCAGCGCAACGTACCAGTAACCAGGCTAACATGAGCTTCAAACAAAAACTGGCTTGGTTCCTGGCCTTGCCTTTTCCCAAGGACAAAGCCTGCATTCAGACTTCAGGCTGTGCTAAGTAGGCGCAATATCAGCTTCTTTTGAGGGCAGAGCTCAAAATGTACAAAATTTATCTTACCACTTGATGTAAAAGTTAAAACCAAGAAGCAAGCTTTCAATCACTCTAAAAGAATCTTTTGAAGGGTTCTGGGGTGGATTTTATGTATGGTTTGGCATCACATAGAATTGAAATCATTTCATTCAACCATCATCAGTGGGCTCATTTTGAATTTTACACAAAAGGTGATGGAAATAATTCAATATCATGGGACATTCAAACACCCCTTGACAGCTCAAAGGAATTCAAATCCATCGCCTACTATTTTCCCACCAACTGCATAATCATACACACACAACTCAAAACATCGTGCAGTGACTTGACCATCCAATCCTATCTAGAGCTCAAACAGTTGGCAATAATATAGCAAGCCAAAGCTATAACTATAATAATCCTCACCCCATCCAACATCATTTTTCTCGACTCCCATTCCCATTAAAAAAAAAAAATGTGCCTGAAGAATGTCAAAACTATCTATGGCTTTGCTGCTCTCTAGATTCCATCTCCCTCACACTATCTACTATGTCTTGGATCTTCTTTGACAAACTCTGATTATGCTCTTCAATGTGCTCAAAAACCAATTCCAAATGCCTTTTATAGGTCGCAGCTCGCTTTTTCTCAATGGCCAGCTGCTGGGATAGTTCCCGGATTTTATCATGTTCATTCTACGAAAACAAGAAACACAAAAAGGTAAGTTGCAGTACAAAAATAGGCTGTGATAACAAGATTTACAAAACTTTTGCCAATGCTTGGAGGGCAAATCTGGACAGCCCAAGCAAGCAAAATAATTATTTTATGTACCTAAGCAAACGAAAATCATACCGTTGAGTTGAATATATGAAAAAGGAAAAAAGAAAGAAAAGTTCCATTTTGGCCTCCACAGTCCGAACCACAGAAACCAAGACTGTTTCAGACTTGAATTCCAGATTATATATTGATGACACATTAGGTCAACCTACACCGATCTTGTAAGTTATTTTCTATAATTTGTGGCCATGACGACTCCCGTATAAATACATTATAAAGGATTTTATCTTCAAAACAACATTAAGTCCCAATTATCCATTAGAATAGCAATCTACCAGAATTTGCAATAATACAATAACAAGTCACATTCCTCTCAACTAAGTCCACATGTACAAAGTATCAAATCAATCAATACCATCATTAATATATATATATATATATATATATATATATATATATATATATATATATGAGACAGAGAATGAACATTTTATGACATTCTACAACAAAAACTTGATATAGCACCATTGTTAAAAATAATAATACCATGGAAAAGGACATGGTCTGATTTTTAAACAAAAAAAAGGTTTCCACACATAATATATTACAGCGCCCAGAAAAGAGAGGAAAAAAAAAAATCAACAATGTTAACTAAAAGAAACACAAGACAGATGGCAATTTTTAAAAGGTATAATAGTCGAATTATGCAACAGCCCTCCCCTTTCACCTTCATTACCTGTCCAAGCAATCATATAATATGGGTGAAAGGCTCTTCCATTTCCTCATGGACAAATATTCCATTCCCATTACCCTTCTTCCCACACCCTTTTGTGCCAAAGGAGTATTAATCAAAGGCTCTCTGTGCAATCCTACAATCAAGCTCTGCATTGATCTCAAGGTTTTCCCTTAAAAGGACGTTTAGCATGACAAAGATTCTTTCCAAGGTGACTTTTTCGTAAGGATGCACAGCTTTGGACGCTATTCTGATTATTGATTATTTAGGCTGAAGAAAGGGGATGCTTCTAAATTGGTGTTACATGAATGAAAGGGAAACAGAGTCAGTGAATCATCTCATTCACTGTGAGGTTGCTATGACATTTGGACCATGGATCTCAATCTTTTTGCTAAGATTGAGTGGGTCAGTTGTTTGATGGAGGGTGGCGTTACCAATAGGGTGTCACATGCTAGTTTTCAGCTTCTCTGTGCCTTATGTGAAACATTTGGAGGGAGAGAAATCGAAGATTTGAACTTCTGATGACCTAGAGGTGTCAATCAAGGATTTAAAGAGAACAGTGTTAGCCCCCTTGCAGCTTTAGATTTTAGAAAGTACCGAAGTACCGACTAATATTACATGGTAGACTATTAAAGACGATTTGAATTTTTAATAATAATAATAATAATAAATAAAATAAAATAAAATAAAATAAAGCAACACTCTTCACATTTTCCATCCATATATATTTGAAAAGGTCCAAAACGTGGTTACAAGTTAACAAATCCATTCATCCAAGGGCAAAATGCAAAAACTCCACAAAACCTGGGTTATATTTTGTCCAAGACGCCCTTTTATAAGAACCATATTACTTCAATACAAAAATATACGAAGGGGTCCATTTTTCAGATTCAAATACTACAAAATGAGTGAGGTTGTTTCAATAGTAGATCCTACGATTTTAACTCAATTTTGGATTAATTTTTTTATTTCAAAATAATTTTTTAAGTTAATTCTTTCATTCTCATTTTTTTTAATGATTGTTAATTTCCTGAAGTGGAACGGTGAGAATGGGTATTTGCAAAATTTTTTATAGTTTAAGGGCAAAATTTTAAGTTCAAGGGGGTTATTTGCAAGTGCAGAAAAATTCAAGGGGTGTTTTTTGCATTTTGCTTCATCCTTTGAAGCAAAATGGACTACTTTGAAAGAAAAATGGACTACTTTGAAAAAGTTCACCTAGCATCTCCTAAAATTTCACATATAATAGCAAAATTGTTATATTTCTCAGAAGTGCTTTTGAGGATACTAGCTAGAATAATCTTTATAGCATGATAAACTGAGGATTATATAGAAAACAACTTGAGAATATGTCATAGTTATGTAGAAGCAAGAACTAACCGGGTATTGATCGTAGATTAAATCCCTTCGGCCTTTGCCGGGACTCAGAGGATGAGTGTGCTCCTTCACAAATTTTGTAACAACCCATTTACCAGAGCTAACTTTCCTAACTAAAATCATTGCTCTGCAACCCACCCTTGTTTCTGCCCTTTGTCGTACAATTTTTTCACGCTTGTCAGGCATCCTAAAGCCCTCTTTGTTACAAACAAGAGCCCTACCAATGGCAGTTCCATCACGCCTTGATCGAGAGAGCTTGCTCACGCGGATGACAAAACCCACTCTTGTTGCATATGCATTATAAAATGCATGTGCTGCTGCTTCAGATTCAAACTCCTGGCCCACATAGGGTTCATCTACTGGATCAGAACTATTTACTGGTTGGGGCTCATCTAATGGAACCATTTCACATCCAGAAAGATCTTGATGCACCTTATGATCCTGGTCCTGTTGAAATGCCCCTTCAACAGAACTTCCTCCCATTTCAATTTCATCACCTACCCTGCATTCCACATCAATAGAATTCCCAATCACCTCGCCATTAACATCTCCATCGACCTCAAAATCCACTGCAATACAAACAATCTTTCAGTAATTCATCATATTCACAACAGTTGTAAAGGAAAAAGAAGAAGATAGAAAAAAAACTTAAAACTTATAATTGAAATCATTACAGTTCAACCCCAGAAAAAAATCCAATTTATCTTCATCACCCACATACACTCCACAAGCTAAGATAGAAATTGACTTAAAAGAAATGACAGGCTCAAGATATGAATGAGATAAAATGAACTTCCTCATCCATATGAAAATCTATGCCACCGAGTTTAGTGTTGAATTTTGAAATCCCTACTGTCAAGCAATAGCTTAAGTGCTACCAAAGAGGAGGTTGATTATTCAAGTCCCAATTGGGACGAAATGGTTGTGCGAGTGTTTCTTACCCATATAAAAAAAGAAAAGAAAAAAGGAAAGAAATAAAATTCTCTTCCTTAACTCATCCTATCTAATCTTCTTAGCTCATCCAACTTATGGCTGCCCCTATTAGGGTCTGTAGTTAAAAAATATGCGATGTTCAGTATACTGTTTAGTTCTCCACTCAAAACAATATTACACATTCTTTTCTCTCCTTGCTTTTTTTAAGCAACCGAATGGAAAAATACATTCAAGACTTTAAGAACCAGGAATCCAAAAAACAAAAATTGTAGCAAGAAAACTAAGAACTAACGAATAAAGAAAGAAAATACATATATTGGACACATGAAACTGAACGAGCTAAAACACAAAAGGGTATCAGAAAAATAACCCTAAGTTCAAAAATTAAAAGACCCACAATCATTACCAGTTCAAATAACAAACATTACATAACTAGCCCAACAAGCCGGTCCATCTGAAGACATAGATTTATGAACTTTAGGTACCAATATTTCCAAGTTCCCGACTTTATCAAACGAAGAAAGCCCAAATTCATAAATTATCCTCTGTATGCGCAATGCATTCAAATAAATCAAAGAAACCCTAAAACTCTGTTTGTTTAGAGCGAAAACAATTCCAGGAAACCTTTTCCAATAGGGAAAAAAAATTGAAATTCTTTTGATGTTTCATTCAGTTTAAGGAGTATTATGAGGTAAAACTTTTCCGAGAAAATATTACTCGATCAAGACAGAAAGACCCTAATTCCAAAATTTTCTGTAACTTTGCACTGAAATAAATCACAGAGAGAGAAAGAAACTTACTCAGAATTTGTAGTAATCTAAAAGATCCAGGTTTGAATTTTGCAAAGAAGAGAGAGAGAGAAGAGAGGTATACGGTTCAGCTTCAGTTTCTTGGGCATGAGCGATTGGTGTAGGTAGAAAATACGGAAAGTCAACAGCGCAATTTCCAACCAATGATATTTTGACACAACGAAGTTGTGAGATCAAAATAGTTCTAACTGGCTGAACTCGGTTCTATCTGATTACAACTCGTTATTGGACATTGCTTTTTGAGAACCCCAATCCAGCCGTGTTAGGCTTAGGCTTAGGCAGGCCCAATATTAATCCAAGTTCACCAAGAATGGGCCACTTCAATTTTAGCCCAATATCATTGTTCCGTTTTGCCCAACTAGTTCTTCAAGCCAGGCCCACTAGTCAACCTTTTCAATCTTCTACTCAAGCCCCCCCTATTGCAACTCTCACTCTCTCTCTCTCTCTCTCTCTCTAGAACTTGTATGGCAAATCGATTGTTTCGCAGTTTGGGTAGAATTTGTTTGCCGTCACTGCTCAAGCACTCTTCTTCCAACTCTCTCTCTTCCAGGTGATATATATGTATCTCTAGATAATTCGTTTCCTTACATTCTATTGTTTTCTCACATTTCTATTTTTACTATTTTGTCTCGTTTTCTTCTTCTTCTAGGGCAATTATCCACCACTTAGAACCAATTTTGGCTCCTTGCGGAGCTCCGACTCCATTCAATCCATCAAAACCTTGGTGGGTCTTGAGAAATTTCAGTCACGGTTCAGTCAATCTTGTGATATCTCAAGGAAAACCCAAGTTCGAAACCAACGAAATTGATCCGCCGAAGAAGGAGAAGTGGAAGACGAAGAAGAGGCTGAAGCTGCATAGGAAGAGAGACAAACAGAAGAGAAAATCGGCTAATAAGAGAGACCCCAGACGTATTGGCATCAAAGGGAAGAAAAGGAAGCAGAAGTTTGCCAATGCTGAGGAACGAATCAAGTACAAGCTTGAAAAGGTGACCCTAATTGATCTGACACCCTTTTTTTTTAAATAATAAAAGGAAGTGATTTTTTTAATTTTATTAAATGTTTGCTGTTCCATTGAATTGGGTTTTCTTTCACTGTGTACTCGAAAGACAGGTTTTTGAAGTATTAGGTGTGCTAGAGAGCATCTTAATAGAGCCCCTATTGGTTAATGAAACAGATTTTCTACAGAATGTAAAGGTTTATTAGGTTGGATGATTATTGGGTAGAAAAAAAAAAATAGTTAACCAATAATAGTCCAAAAACTAGTTATTTAATATTGTTGGCTCTACTTTGTGATTCATTTAGCACACCTCAACCTTAATAGTCAGGATGAAGGTGGTGTGAATTGTACCTCAGTGTTGCAAGTATTGCACACTCTAAAAGTGGGATTTAAAACGGATTTTTGGAATTTCTAAATAATCTTCCAATTGATGACCCATATCCAATTTTACTCCCATCACTCAATTCTCATTTATAATAAGAACATGATGATGATGACATAAAGAAGTATGGTGAACATTAGAGATGAAGGTGTTCATGGCAGTCATAGTTATGAAGGTGTTCATGGCAATCATAGTTACTGTATCTTTGAATTATATAAAGGAATGTCAGAAGTATGGTGCTGAAAAGGGGAATATTAGAGATGAAGGTTTTCAGGGCAACCATACTTACTGTATCTTTAAATTATATAAAAAAATGTCATGAAATTTTTTAAATATGCAACAACTAATTTGTTTGTGCCTTTATTAGTTAAATAATTTTACATATTTTAGATGTTTTCTCAGCTTATTTATCCATCCATTTTTTAGTTCATATTTGTTCTAATTTTATCATATTTTTTAAAGATTTTTTTAAAAAATGTCTATTGTACATATGCCTGATATTGATTTGATAAGCCGCAACCAATTTGCATCTATGGATCCCGAGCCCATACTGCAAGTGCAGACCTTGGCATGACTGTGACTTTCCGTTATAGCTGCTGTTACCATGACCTTGTTGGCTATATACATCTTGACTTTTGAAAAAGAAGATGGGTATAATTGTCTGCTTGTCATCAAAAAGCTAATTCAAATCTGCATTCTCAATCAATTCTTGAGTGGCTAAATCATTTTCTAGGAAGTTCTTCTCAGCATGTTTCCTGATACTGCTCTCTCTCTCTTAAAAATAAAGGAAATTGCAATTGTCCTTTATTTCTTAGATATTTGGCCTGTGTTTTGTTATTCTAACATAACTTTGCTAAAATATTTTAATATTTCCTGTATTTGTTTACTACTGGTATACAGTCAGGAACAGATTCTCAATTGCATTTTTTATTCTTTTTTTAAAATAAAATAAAAATTAAACGCTTTCAATAATAGCCTTCTTTGTTTTTTGTTCCACTTCAGGCAAAAATTAAGGAAGCTTTACTGATTGAAAGACTCAAGCGATATGAAGTTTCTAAACTTCAGGGTCCTGTTGTTAGACCGGAGGACCTTACTGGTGAGGAGCGGTTCTATATGAAAAAGATGGGCCAGAAAAGGTCAAATTATGTACCAGTTGGAAGAAGAGGAGTATTTGGAGGCGTTATTCTTAATATGCATATGCATTGGAAGAAACATGAAACTGTTAAGGTCATTTGCAAGCCATGTAAACCTGGTGAGGTACACGAGTACGCACAAGAAATTGAAAGACTGAGTGGTGGAACCCCAATTCAAATAATCGGAGATGACACTATAATTTTTTATCGAGGAAAGAATTATGTGCAGCCAAAAGTTATGTCACCAATTGATACATTGTCCAAGAAAAGGGTGCGTTTCCCAACTTTTGATTTCCTTAAATGTTTTTTTTCCCCCTACATTAACATGTATGTACCACTGTCATCATCATGCATGTCTCATTGCAGTAGTTTTATGTCAATTGTTTGAATCCTATTTCTTGACCTTTTCTCTAGAGTCACTTATTTTTAATAGCTTGGGAAAGGCAGATTTTTTGTTGGCTGACCCAACATAGTTGGGAATAGGGTTGTAGCTTTTCTTAATGGAATCTAAAGCTGTATTCATATCATGTTGTTTGTTATTAAAACTTGGACTACAATTGCTGCTCAACTCAATCAGTTAGCAGACTAGCTGTGGTTGAATTATGTCTTTAAAGTATGTTCTGTAAATGCGCTGAGCAAAATAAGCCCGTAGCTTAGCTAGATTTTGAAGGCATGTAGAGTAGTAGACGTTAATTTTCTATGTTTGATTTTTAGAGTCCAATACATGTATTCTTTCATGAACATACTCTTAATGTACTGTGAGATCTATGATTTTGGGTAAAGTACAAACAAGGCCTTGCATGCTGACTTCATGATCCTCACAATATCCCAGCTTTATGGTTTTTAAATATGAATTTTAAATCTTAAATTAACAACATATCTAGAAATTCTTATTTGCAATCCTGGTTAAGTAATACTAAATTTTAAGTATACGAAATGAGGAAGTTAAGGATCCTGAACAGACCAGCTTACATGAATGCCCTCAGCCAATATGTTGGTTCATTAGAAATAATAGTTCATTCTTCATAAAAGGAGTATCATGCTATCCCTGGAAGCTGAAAAAAATAAATCTTTGCTGCATAATGAGTTCCCTAACTGATCATGACTTGGAATATTGGCAAGTGACTATTTTTGCAGAGTCAGAGTGTGTCAGTGTGGGCCAACACCAACACTGTCCATGCAAGAGTAAAGTATCAATACGGAAGAAGGTTTCATCGTGGTTCCTTAGAACCTCTGCAATAATTTTTTCAAGAATTTCTGTTGCAATGTGCTAATGCATTCTTAGGTTTTTTCAATTTTATAAGAATCACTTATGGTTACTATGTACAGTCAACTAATCAACTTCAGCTGTGAACTCTATCATTTGTGCATCCACCTGGATGACTAATGACCAACTTAAAAAGAAGTTTAGTCTTCAAACTATTTAGAATTTGTATATATTTCCATTTTTGTCATAGTTTAGCATACATTCAGGTGGAATGAGGTGCAAGACTGTAGAATATTTTACAGAGATAATCAATCAGAAATTGGAAAGAAATTGTTTCAAAAATATAAAAGATTAGAACAGAAGGCTATAATGGAAGTGCTGAAATATCTGGTACTGTTGTCTTAACAATATGGTAGACAGGTAGAGCATAGGCATTACCTAAGATTCAGCCATTGCAGCAAATGCGTTTGGTTGGATTGGCAGATTCGGAACAAGCAAAACCAGCATGATCTCTTCCACCCCTCTCCCGCTCGCGGGGGGTGGAAATAATGTCAAAGGTTATGCTTAAGATTTAGATGAATAAAATGTTTCTTTCTTCTTCAAGAGTGTTTAAATTGGATTTATTTATTTTAACACAAATGGAAAGTCAACTATATTACTTGCTTGGAGCAAAGAAGGATCTGTCTACAATTGAATTTCTTTCACCCATTTCACTTTGATCTTTGTTTTCCTCTCCGTGTGTTTCTCAGTGCTGTCTTCAAGAATCTGTTAGACTAGTATTTCTCTTTTATTCTACTTAATATGGACCGACTTTTATTTTCTATTCCCAGGCACTTGAAAAATCCAAGTATGAGCAATCACTCGAGTCTGTCAGGCGCTTCATTGCCATTGCCGAAAAGGAACTAGAACTTTACTACAGGCACATTGCACTTTATGGTGACCCAAGTAATCGGAATCCCAGCTTAATCCTTACAGGCCCAAAGAAAGGCACTGAGAAGCTGAAGAGGGTTGGAACAGCTGGAAGGGAGAATACTGATTCGAGTTTTGATGGCTGTTCCCCTACTCATTCAGATACAGAAATTGATTCAACAGAGCAAGAACTATCAGAAACTGACGATGTTTTTGAAGACGAAGAAGACCTTGCCGCAAGTGAATTAGAATATGAGGATGACAAAATATCTAATAGTGCCTCGGATTTTTGTGTTGAAGAAAGAGAAGGGAGCTCTTCCAGTATTGAAGAAAGCTCCACCAGAATGTTAGGTTCACCCTCAATATTTAGAAGTGAATAGGATTTCGATAATTAAGGTTCTTTGAAGAGAAAATAAACTGTAAACACAATGTATAATTTAATTTAATTACCCAAAGAAAGAAATTTTAGTTTAATTTTCTTATTTTTTGCTGCCCCATTTTTGGCTAAACCACTCTTGGTCCTTACATTAGTTACTAACAAAGTGGTTATTGACAGTTCTTTACTTCGAGTATGGGGGAAAATTAGAGACCTAATTAATATTTATTATATAAAATGATTTTATTTTGCATACGGAATGTGATTATATGTGAATAATTATATCTTTGAATGTAGAAATTCTAGTAAATCTCATGATTAAGTAGTTGACAAGTCTTGTTTTGGAACCTTTGAGATTACAACTTATAGTATTATGGTGCCTGATCTCTGCATACATATATAATGGTATACGAATAGTTAAATACAACAAACATTATATATATATATATATATATATATATAGAGAGAGAGAGAGAGAGAGAAGGTTCTGACAAGGTAATGGATCATAGAACATGCATAACTTTCCTTCAAAGGCAGGTGATGGGGGTACTCTATCCATGCGGTTGATGTAGATCAAAAAAAAATTTGGTGCATGGCCACAAGTCCCTGTCCTGTCCATGGCTGTGCCACCCTGGACAGTTTAAATGTGAGTGCAAAGTCTTACCTATTTCTTCTCATATATGAATGCACTTCACTCAATGGACCCTACTCAAATTTGAGGGCAAAGTCGTCTTCTTCAAGTTTCCTGTTGTGCAATCATTAACAATGATAAATCCCAAACTCACAAGGAGGGTTTGTTTTCTACCAAGCTCAACTTGTTTCTGCTTGGGTAGAGTTTTTATCTTATTTTTATACACTACAACGACAGCAAGCCCAATGATATAACCTCCTCATGGAGGGAATGGAAAGGGTTCAAGTCCTAGCGCGTGAACAAAAAGTGCATTTGCAAGTCTAATTTCCTCTTCATTAATTTGAGTTGAAAAAAAAAAAAACAAAAAACTCTATCCATAAAGATAAAAAATGACTCACTCCAATTGGTACGAGGCGTTTTGAAATAAAAGTTCAAGAGCAAAATTATGTAGCCTCAAACCCAAAGCGGACAATATCATACCATATGGTGGAGTAGATCGTTACAAATGATATCAGAACTTGACCCAGCTTGAAGTGTGCCGACGGAAACGTCAGCCTCCAAGGAGAGTGAATTGTGATAAACTTGTGGACGAGTGTGTTGTTGGCGGGTGAGATTCCTCGGGTGCTTTCTCTTTCACCATGTGAAGGAGTTATCATATATATATATATATATATATATATATATATATTCAATTATGAGGAAAAATTAACTTATTCTTTCCTTTCTATCCTTCCAACCAGTGCAATGAAAGGCATGTACACATTTATTTCTTATCATGATTTATGGAAAGTCAAAAAAGCATTGAATATTCGTTAAAAGACTAATAAGACTCATTCTTTTGTATTAAAGACCAAACCAACAAAACATCCTATGAGAATTTTGGGTTTCTTATGGAGTAGAATTTCAATATGAAATAGTCTTCAATTATTCTCTTCCTTTATTCTATCTTTTTGACACTTCCAACAAGTCTCTCTTCTTTTGCCTCCAAATTTCAATTTCTTAAATATACGGAACTCCCTTTTGCTGATGTTACTTTCGTATTGCAAGGTTGGACTTATATATGATTGATTATTTGAGTCTAATTATAAATTATATATATATAATTTACAATTAGACTCAAATAATAATTTACAATTAGACTCAAATAATCAATCATATACAAGATATATATATTCAGCATAGGGGATAATAACTTTTGTTTAATAATAACTTTTATTTAATAAAATTAAATAATAACTTTTGTTTCATAAACAATAATCTTAATTTTACCATCCTACATTTTAATATTGTTACAGAACACTTTTTGATTTTACAAAAGCGTCTTGTTTTGATTGAAAATCAAAACAATCTCACATCACCATATTGTAACCAGGAAACTATTAAATATATATATGTATGTATTTGGTTCATGAATTATAAAATACTTTCAAAGGACAAACATTACTAAACAAAAATTGTCATGATCCCGAGATTATGTAGCATTAACAATTGCAAGCTAGATTGGAGGTAGGCGCTTGATAAAACCATGGGTCGTTGTCGCCTACCAAAACACAATTGATACAAAACCATTTGCGACCTTACATTTTTTTATATTTTTCTTTCAATCGGTATTAGACCAATTGGCCCCTGGGCATTATATAGAATTTTTTTTTTAAGTCTTATATTTGTAATTGGTGATCGAGCCCTGGGCATGTGCCCCCTCTCTGTCTTAATAACTTAAGTTTCCTAATTGTCATCTTAATTCTAGATTCTAAATGCAAAAAAAAAACCTTAATTAAGGAAGTGCAATTTGTTACAATATCGATGATGCAAGTATTGGGTGTGAGTATCATTACTCTAAATACATATTCTTTTATATATATATATATTAAGAACAATATTTAAATTCTCACTACGTCATACCTTTAAAGAACAATACTTAGATTTTTATTGGTGACATTTATGCTATATTCATTGCAGACTAATAATAAATGGACACATTCTATTTTAATTATCAAATCATAAATAGTAATTAAATTATTATTTTTAATTTAGTAAGTAAGTATCTACCTATTACATTTGATTAAGTATTATTCTTTTTTTACATACCTTTAAAAATGGATTCATAAAAGGAATTAAGATTGCTTCCATAATTAGTTCAACATTTTTATGGTTGGTTAGTTTCTCTCTAACAATATCTCCTACCGACCCTATCTTTTTTCTCTCTCCCACCTCTTAAATATATATCTCCAAAAGGAAAATAAATAAATAAATAAAAGGAAATAATCTATATCTCCAAAAACAAGGTCGTGGCATGGACCAAAAATTATCCATTCCGATGCCAATCATATTCCGAAAAATGAGATAAAATTAACCAGAGTTTTGGATAATATAGGAATTCTCTTTTATATGTATATTTTTCCCAAAAGGTAATTAACTCTATCTATAATTAGGCCTCGAAAGTCCAAATTCCTCTACGTGTATATATAAATTATACCATATACATATAAAAATACCGTATATATTTAATTTTATTTTCCTTTTCAATATCCAAACCAACGGCCTCTTCCTTTCCAACTCCTTTCTCAGTTCTCTATATAAAGCACTGCCGTCTCCTCCTTGTATCTCTCCTATTATCCCCTCTCTCTCTCTACATCTCTCTATATTGCTTCAAACCCCCCTCTCTCTAAACATCATACATGGCGAACAACAATGGTGTATCTTCGACTGGTTTGATCGTGAGTTTCGGTGAGATGCTGATCGACTTCGTGCCGACCGTTTCCGGCGTGTCGCTGGCGGAGGCGCCTGGATTCCTTAAGGCTCCGGGAGGAGCTCCGGCGAATGTGGCGATCGCCGTCGCCAGGTTGGGAGGCCAGGCGGCTTTTGTAGGAAAGCTCGGCGACGACGAGTTCGGGCAGATGCTGGCCGGGATCTTGAAGCAGAACGGCGTCACTGGAGAGGGTATACTTTTCGATCAGGGCGCTCGGACGGCGCTGGCCTTCGTCACTCTACGCTCCGACGGAGACCGCGAGTTCATGTTCTACCGGAACCCTAGTGCCGACATGCTCTTGAGGCCCGACGAACTCAACCTCGAACTTATTAGATCAGTACGTTGATCTCAATCTCTCTTACTTTACTCTTACAGTATTTTGATTTTCTGTCTTTCCTGGATTATAGTGCAAGTATCTCACATCCCACGCGCCTTCACTTGCTCTCTCTGACCTTCACTTGCTCTCCCTGACGTGTTTTTCTTAAAAAGAAATTTTTGACACATCAACACTGATGTTGATGGGCCTACCTCATCAATCACGTTTCCCCCTCGTGGGCCCGGCCCAGACTGGCGCGCCTATACCTGTCCGGCCACAAGGAGCAATCATGCTCCCTTTTATATTGATTTGATGAATATGTAAATATGAATCACGGTGTTTAGTAGATCTGATTAATGATTTAAAAACTTTATAATTTTTTAAAGAATAATTATATTTAAACCAATTTTAAGCTAACCTATGGGTATCATAATACTCAATTACACAACCCAATCTTCAGCTAATTAGAGCGGAGGTTAACGGACACCCACCCACTGTTACCAAAAAAATCCCATGCTTACCAAAAAAAATAAAAAAAATAAAAAAACGGTGTTGATGCATTATTTTAATTATCCTTGATTTCCAGGCAAAAGTATTCCATTATGGATCAATAAGCTTGATTGTGGAGCCATGTAGATCTGCACATCTAAAGGCAATGGAAGTGGCAAAGGATGCTGGTGCGCTGCTCTCATATGATCCCAACCTGCGGCTACCATTATGGCCGTCAGCAGAGGAGGCGCGTGAGCAGATAATGAGCATCTGGGACAAGGCAGAGGTGATCAAGGTCAGCGACAACGAGCTCGAATTCCTTACTGGTAGTGATAAGATTGATGATGCTGACGCAATGTCACTTTGGCATCCTGGCCTCAAGCTCCTACTGGTTACCCTTGGTGACAAGGGTTGCAAGTATTACACTAAGGTATTTCTCTCTCATTCAATTTTTGTTTTTGTTTTTAAAATAAAGGTTTTAATTTTTACTTGTGTTGCTAATTAAAACTCTTAAATCATCAACTGCTTGCTGATAATGTTTTACAAATATAGAATTTTCATGGAGCTGTGGATGCATTTCATGTCAAAGCTGTGGATACAACTGGTGCTGGTGATTCGTTTGTAGGTGCACTCCTCGTCAAGATTGTTGACGACCAATCTATACTGGAGGCAAGTGTATTTGTTCTGTTTCTCTATAAATTCTTTTTTTTTTTTTTTTTCTTGCAAGTGGAGGGAGAAATCAGAGTTCTAAAGATATTATTTTATTGATTGCAGGATGAAAAGAGGTTGAGGGAAGTCCTGACATTTGCGAATGCTTGTGGAGCCATCACCACCACCAAAAAAGGAGCTATCCCTGCTCTCCCTACTGAACCTGATGTCCTCGGTCTCATCAGAGGGGAATAGGCTTAACTTTTTTTCTTTTTTTTTTTTTTTTTTTAATTTTTAGTTTGAGTTTCTTTTTCCAAAGGAGATGCTTGCAATTTAATTAAACTAGCTTTGAGGTTTTGATTTCTTTTCTTTTGATTGTAATGATGAAATAGTACTTGTGTGCTTAAAGGTGTCATTAATAAAAATAATTTCATCATTCTTTCCAAGTTGTAATTTTAAATTGTGTGTTACATCCTCTTTTAATTTTTATCATTAATTATTTAGCATTATCATTTTGATTAAATATTAATGTTTCTCTGTTAAGCAATTTTTGTGGTGATTAGATGGGGTTTTATTTCTTAGGTCCTAGTTAGTTTGGTTTTAGGGTTAAGACATTTAGTTATAGTATATCTTTAGACTGTAATAATGTGGTAATCCAAAAAATGGCCAATACTCAAATATATATATTTTTATTGTTTTTACTTAATTAATTCCTTATCATACCGGTCCGAAATTGGGGATATCCTATAATAATGAAAAGAAAGGGAAAGATGATCAATAATGAAAAGAAAGGGAAAGATGATCTTGATCAACCTATTGTTGTCGGAAAGGTAAACGTTCTTTTACCAATCACCTTATTCCCAATGACCGCAAATATGAGATTTTGGCATATTTCCTGTTTTTCTTTAATTTGATTTCCTTTCTTTGTACCATATTTTTATATATACAAGATTTTGGCATATTTCCTTTTTTTCTTTAATTTGATTTCCTTTCTTTGTACCATATTCTTATATATACAAAAACTTAAATCAAACCATATCCAACTACCTGTCAATACAGATAATCTGCCAGGCAACAGAGTATCATATAATTTGTTTGAAAAGAAGAGAGTTTAGTTTGTTCATACCATTAGATAATGAATTAATTATATGTATGGAATGGCTTTATTCTATATTGGATGTTTGAACTTGGCTGGATAGGGTGGCAAAGGATGACATGATTACTTACATGGCAACCATGTGTTGCTATGTAAGTCTTGACCATCATATGTTGTTTTTTCCCCAATTTAGGTCTAATCTATCATATGTATAGGGATGGAGGCGAGGATTAGTGCGCCATGCAATGCCTGGTTCGTCTTCACAAATCCATAGAAATGCCCTTCTATTTCCACTCCGGTATCGGTAATGGCCGTAAAGCTCCTGACGGCCTCTGATGATCAATCTTGACCATCTGACAAGTACTACACTGAGAGACAAATAAAGCAAAATCCCTCTTCATACCTGCCCACCAAAACTGCCGCTTCATATTCTGCATCAAAACACAGCCAAGACCCTGCAACGAAGCATCCGTGGAATTTGGAGTGTTGATATCATAGTCCACATTTTAATTTTCTTTATTAACAGTTTCCTCTCCTTCCCATTGTTTTATAAGATGACATTTTTCTTCAAAGCCAATATGTAATGTCATATTATATTAGGCCCTAGTATACTCTATAACATATGTGAATTTGAGAGCATTCGAAGATGTTTTAAAATCTAGAGATAATTAATTAATTTAATTAATTAATTTATTCCAAGTGCACTATTCACTCCATTGGATTTCTGATTTGATATTATTGATGTGCATGCCATATACCTTCACATATATTAAATCAGGAATATTTGATTAGGTTTTGAAGCCTTTCATTTATTATTTTTCTTGTATGAAGGTTTAATTATAATGGTTGTAACTTGTATGGAAATCACTTGTATTAGGCTACTAAATCAAATTTTGGCATGTTTTATACTATGTGGCTGACATCGTTTTACAAAATCAATAATGTATTAATGAAAATGACCGACTTTTTCACAATTCAATAAATATAAAACCAGCCACTGAGCGCCCATGCTGGACCAAAATCACATCTTGAACCAGTTCAACATTCTTGAACTGGTTCAACTCAACCAGAATTGAACAAATGCAGCAGAAACAGTGAAATTGTAGAAAAATACCAATCATCTCCTTTGCATTCTCTTCCAATGCCAAACTGGTAAGATTTCTTCAATTTCTTATCAAGCTTACTCTTCTTAGCTGCCAATTTCTCTAGCATTGAACTTTGGCTCTCATAAACAGATTTTAACAACGAGGAGAAGTCTGCCGTAAAAGGGTTACCTGCGGTTTTTAATGGTGCCTTTCGTGATGCGCTATTATTTGGGGTACGTCAAGCACTTTTTTGGTACCCTTTATAAAGTCATTTACAATATTGCCCTTAGAGAAACATTTGCACAAGAAAGGGTACTTTAGAGGCAAATACCTAATTACTTTATTCCCATTCCTAATCCATAGTGAAGCTAGAAACCCAAGTTGGGCAAATAGCTAGTACCTTGAACACAAATTTTTATTTAAGAATTTGTCCTGTGTGTGACAAGCAAGCAATCTTGCTAGTAAAAGGGTTTTTGATGATTTGGTTATGCTTTTGGACTCACCAATGTCCTTAGCCGTGTTCTGGGGTTTTTATATCCTCTCTCTTTTATTTTTATTTCTTTTTTTTTTTGTCTTGCCTCTTAATCCTTTAAAGCAAAACCAAGAAAATGTTCCTAAAGCTTTCTCTTCCTATATTTCTTTCTATATCTATTTCTTCCCATTTCTATTCTCTGAACCTTCCATTACAAGGATGTTACACCATAAGGACTAGTTTAGTGCATGAGGCTCCCCACTATTGCGGGAATTGAGAGGATCAGATGTATGCAGCCTTGTCTCCATGCGGAGAGGCTGTTACATATTGAATTAATATGTGCTTAAAGAGAACTGCTCCCAACTGAGCTAACATATTCTAGAGGCACCTTCCTCAACGGTATTCAGTCTTATGTAATTGAGTCTCCGGTTTCTAGACAGTCAGTGGCGGCGCACAGAGCCTTCCAGATAGGTACTAACGGTTAATAATGCAGTGAGCTGGCTAATAGTTGCTGTGTCTGATTTGTGAATCAAATGGTTCAATGTCTTCGCTGCAATTTCTTTTCCATTTGAGCTTCCATTCTTTAGTAGCCATAACAAAGCAGGAACGGCATCAGCACGGATCTGGGTATTCAAATATTTCACGAGGACAGCGGGCTTGCTGGCTCCTTTTCTGGCGGTGGATCCTCGGTGTATGGCAGCGGTAGAATGGAATCTTGTGGGCTGGTAACTGGAGATCCGGTTTCTAAATTTTGTGATTTGCAGAGAGATGGCAAGTTCTGTTGATTACAGAGCCATGACTTCAATTCAATTGAAGAAAAAACATGAACTTTCTTTAAATTCTCACGAGGAAACTCTGCACCAAAATAATACTAGTGCATTTACGACTTAGAAATGTAGGATATCCTAAAAACCAACAACCATGAGGTGATATTCAATTTTTTTCACGGATCATCTTTTGCTAATGGCAAGAAAAGGCTTAAAAATAACCCAAAATAGTTACGATTTATGGAATGACTTACCATATTAGTAGAGATTTGATTATGCTATAGAATATGAGCATAAACCAAAAGATGTCCCAAAACATAAACGTAAATCCGAGCTAAGGATGATGTGTATCCAAGAAGAGTACATCCTTGCTTGAAAAACATTAAATCGACTAGGGTGAGTAATTTGAAGGTATGTTTCAGTTGTTGTGAATGCAGTGCCACTTTTATATTATTATAATTATTATTATTATTACCCTATAAAAAGTGTATTCAATTTATAATATTTATATACATTCAAAAGACTACCCTAGTCAACAAAAAGTGCCTATCTAGCAAAAGAAAATACAGAAAAGCCCTAAACAGCTAATCTATATGAAGGGGAGGAGCATCGGTAGAAGTAGAAGGGGGAGACGGAGTGTGGCGTAGAAAATTCTCTCAAATTATTAACTTAAATAAATAATTTCAAGTATTTCAATAGATGTAGTAGTCCCCTTCCATATGAAAAAATTGAGTGCAGGATGAAAAGAGGTTGAGGGAAGTCCTGACATTTGCGAACGCTTGTCGAGCCATCACCACCACCAAAAAAGGAGCAACCCCTGCTCTCCCTACTGAACCTCATATCCACTATCTCATTAATGGCGGATGAATAGCATACTTTTTAAATTGGGTCATTTGATAAAAAAAGTCCAATTCACAAATCTAAATTTATCCAATTTGATGGTTAGAGAATCAAATTAGATTAAGTATTCCCACGAATAGAATCAGATGACGATTTGGAAGAGGAATTCCTAATTCTTACACCGATGAGACGGATCACACCTGATCAGTGAAAAATTATTACACCAAGAATTTACGAGTGAGTATTACACCAAGAATTTACAAGCTTATGAGTCCCTCTTTTCACATTCCAAGCTCTCATTTCTAAACTTACGCCCAGGAAGCTTGATCCAAAGCAGTGCTGATTCACTTATGTACTTTCTCGTCAAGAGCGGAGCGAGATTCCCAGCTTTGCTTGTTTTGTTACGCTGGGTGGAACTCGTGCCTTCAGAATTGAAAAATGGAATAGATAGAGTAATATGCCACTGGCTTGGCACATAGGGACAGGACATTCAGTAGATTACATTTGATCCTAATCCGATTAGATCTATGTTCTTTCTTATTGGGCTTAACTTAATCAATATGAGTAAAATAATCAAATTAATAAGAGTACCTGTTTGTAATTAAATTTTAGAATAAAGTGCAAAAAATTCCCACGAACTATATTCAAATTCGCAAATAATCCTTCTAAAATATTTTTTGTGCAAAAAACTCCATGTCACTTTTAGTAGCAAAATGCCCGCCATTACCTTGACTATTTTTCATTAAATGACTTTAGTATCATTTTTATTTTTATTATTATTATTATTTTTACAAGGCAAGAAAAGTTATAAGTTAGATCAGTAAATGCAGAAAGTTAAAGCGTAACACTCAAAAATTCACTGAAGGTACTAAATTACTTGGCTATGGAGGCATATGCTAGTATCATTTCTTATTGAATTACACTTTTTATTTTTCTTATTAAAATAAATTATGAAAAAAAATCATACTAATTTGACGAAGTATTCTCCATTAAATTTGCATAATTTGCCTTTAATTTTGTAATTAAATAAAAATCCTAAGTAAATTTTTTTGAAATAATTTAATTAATTTCTTAATTTTTTATGAATATATTGCATAAAAAATAAAATATTTTTTATTTAGTAATTTATTAATTTTTCATGAATATGGTATGAAAAAGAAGGTATTTTTGTACTATATGTATTTTTAAAAGTGAGTATAA